CTGGTAGATAATGTTCTAAGGTTTGAAGTTCTATCCGTTGTTTTTAACCTCCAGCAGAACCATAGTTACACTGAGATACATGTGAGTCTGACTGACGATTTTATAATCAAACCAAATGTGGATCCTACATTTCACTGCTACTAAACATTCAGTAAATGATATGAAATCCAATGCGTCGGTAATTATTCATATGAAGTGTTATATGTGTTTGAGTTCAAAATAAGCAGTAAACAAAAACAGTTGGATTTTCATTTTAAAAAATACAAGTATCACAGATAAAGATGAATTTAGGACGAGAATATACTGATATTTCCAAATGAAACTTGAATTCATCAAGTGTACCTTCATAGGGTAAAATGTTTTTCTTTGAGTTATCCAACTATTTTATGATATTTCAAGTTGTTATTCATAGAAGACTGACATCAGTTGGAGGAACAAAGGAAACCTGGGAGCACTGGACAGCTGTTTCGTCCTAGTATGGGACTCCTCAGCAGTGCGCACCCACGACCCCACCAGCAGGGATCGAACCCGCGACCTTCAGGTTCCGCGACCAGCGCGGTGGAGTCAAAGCCTGATGGCCGTGAGGACAAATACTCAACGATGACATTGGGTGGCGGTCTGCGCTATATCGTGAGCTAACAGAAGTTGGAAATATGGAGCATTGGATTCTGACCCAGTGGCTCAATGGTAACGCACTGGTCGCGGAACCTGAAGGTCGCGGGTTCGATCCCTGCTGGTGGGGTCGTGGGTGCGCACTGCTGAGGAGTCCCATACTAGGACGAAACAGCTGTCCAGTGCTCCCAGGTTTCCTTTGTTCCTCCAACTGATGTCAGTCTTCGATGAATAACAACTTGAAATAATTCCAAATCTCCACAACCCCTCAATATTTTATGATAATTAACAAATGTGATGCAGGTTTTGTTATCATTTAATTTTGATTTATTAGATCTGGTTAATCATTTTTTTGTTAAGAATATTTGTGTAAATCAGTTATAGAATATTATCGTAGATTAGCAGACCACATTACCTATACATTTCTGTAAGATATTAGCATGATTGTTACGTTTGATAAACTACACTCAGTCAATTAGTATATGAAAATGAAAAAAACAATCTGAAACAGTGAGTTAATTAACCATCTTTATCACGTCACTGAGTCTGAAGGAAAAATTATTTAATCATCGATATCATGAAGATGATCATCAGATAATAAGACACAGTTATCAGTTATAGTTAATTCTTTGCTGAGAATAACTGGAGCAGACAGAAAAAAAGTTTCATATGTAGATTAAATAAAATGGTTTCAAAAGAGTTTTAATCAGTTCCTGGCAAAATATAAGATTATAGGTAGCTGGACAACTGAAGCCTTGCTGAGAGCCAGATACGTTGTTATCCAAAGGGTTTTCCTTAACGTTTTACACGCCCTTTATCAAAGGTTAGCGAAGTCCTTTCTTTCCCTTATTGACCATCATCCTTTTCGTGCTAATCATTTTAACAGCCCAAGAAAACTGGCTATTATTACTAACGGTCGGTTGCTTCCGCATCATTTTTTTCCCTAGATGACTCATTCCGATTGCTTCTGCATCTCTTGCTTTCATTACTTACTATTGCTTTTTACCATCACAGAAATTCTTAACCAATTGAAGTTTATAATGCATTCGTTCCTAATCATGATCGGGAACAGATACATTGAGTCTTTGCTAATTAACCTGTTTGAATGAGGCTTTGAAGATTCAGGTGATTTCGCTAACCTTTGATTATGAGTTGCCAACTATTTTACGGCTGTTTCTGTGGCAGAATAGATACTATGCATTGCTTCATCCAGTTAAGGATTGCTTTCATACTCAGATAAACTTCTGGCAACTTCGTTACTCTATATTTTTATCTTCTAGACAAGTACAGGAAGGTATTTCTGACATTTACTCCATGTGTAAGTTAAGGGGAAGAGATAAATGTTCTTATACTAAATCATTGTAGGGATACAAGCAGGTACTTCAGAAACAGCCATAATATCCTACTGGTTCTCTTGAACAGTGCTCTATAACTGTATGCCTGATATGTGATCACTGTTGACTTGAGAGACAACGTCTCTACCCATGTTAAAAGTTAATGCTGGTCAGAAACTACTGGTTGTATGAGCAAAATTTTGGCGAGCGATGAATGCTACTGGCTCATCGGTGTAAGACTTTGTTGATAGTAGCAAAATGACCTCCGGTAGACAGGAATTACTTGCCAACCTGTTTATGTTCAGACTATTTGTTTCCCCCGTTAAAATGAACAGGTTTTCGTTCAATTCATCTCATGCGTTAGTTGAACTGCATCAGGTTCTGATACACACGAATACTGAAAACTCTTGCACTTATCCTCAGTCGGACAGCTCTCAAATGTCTGTCAACTGACAGGTGGAATGCTCCAGTGAACCTTTTGCTCAAGAAGTTACTATTATTCCTAAATCAATGAATTCACAAGTACTATACATCGAGTCTCCGGATTCTTATAAGGTGTATTTTGCAAATTTATCATACTGCCTTTGTGACGTTCAGTGAATCCTCACAATTTGGTAGCACGTTTCTGAAAAACATATTGCATATTCGTGATTTTGATTTCCACAGTTTTGAAAGGTTGGGCTTGTTTTCCCAATCGAAACATCCTTCAGACTTAAAAAGATACTAATTTGAATTTAGTATCACAGTTATGGGAGGTAAAATAGAGTATATCGGTGATTCAGTTTGTTAGCTGTTGTTTCAGGGCAAAAATTTACGGAAACTGGAAGGATTTAAGTGTTGTTAGCTGGAAGAATTACTGAAAGCATAAAGTTGGGGCAGGTAGGTTAAGATCTAAATAGGTTCAAACTGCTGTTAGACGTATACATGTGATCTATAATTCTTGACTATACAAGTTTGAGATGCTTGAAAAAGTCGGTGTAAAATGTTCACGTGAGAACAGAGCTCAAAAACTGGGAGAAATCTTATTTCTGTTAACTTCCAGCCTCTCCCTACATCAATATATAATATTTTATAGAAAAGGAAAATTCGTTATCTAAGTGGTTATTTGTATTTCAAGATTGATAATTACATGTATGATTGGTTAATTTTAGTATTTAAATTGTATGAGAAATTTATTTCATTTTCTGGGATTTAGAACAGTCAGTCAGTAAAGTCACAAAATGGAATAGCAAACTACATTTTAAAAGTATAGTGACCTGATGACAGGTTAAGAATATTAATATCCGTGCCATTATTATTTATTGATTGTAATCATTTTAAGTATAGATAGAAGAGTAACAATGGGACTAGGTTAGATCCAAATTTGAAAAGCAGAAGGTCACTTTTAGATGGATTAGAATAAAGAACTATGCATACGTTCACTAGCTAGTTCCGAAAGTACATTGTCTGAGCTCTAGTAGATAACCATGAAGGTATTAGATTATGTGAAAGAGTTCTGAACATTATAACCTTTCTCTGCGATTTTTATTATTATAGTTTTATTAGTATGAAGGACACAAACTCTGCCTAGTCATTTAATAACTTTTGGATAGCCAAAAAAAATCCTCCTTAAATAGCAAATAGGTTTAAACTCAAATTATGCAATCTTTGTTTCCTTCAAACTATTTTTGTATACTTCATCAGAGTGATTTTTCAAAAAAAGTGCAATAGTAGATGGTGAATTCAATGTAAATACTCAACTTTAAATTGTATAAATTTGCAAGAAAGTGCTATTCAAAATTCATTTTTGCTCATAGTTGATTATTGTTTTAAATGTTAGTAATAAATCAGTAAAAGACTCTGTTAGTCATAGATTTTGCACTCGTGTAAACTCATCAGTCATCTTAAAGAAATTAATTCACCCTTTAAGATTGAAAGCTATATCAGTAAATTGCAGTAGTGTTACAGACTGAAACATTAAATCAAAATACAAACTTTAATAAATTGAGATAATTTTTTATCACACTAGGAACACTTCAAGTTCATATTAAGTATAGAAGTTTATAAAATTTAATTTTTTAGTTATGTAACACTATCGAGTAGACTTATTTACTTCCACTACTAATGAGTACAATTAAGCAGCAAAAATAAATAACATCGACTGAAAACAAGAATTTTTGTTTTTGCCATTCTCTCCTATAACCAAATAGAAATCAACCTATGGTTAATATTTCAATATAACCCAGTGAATTTTGCTACTGAAATAAGCTTCATATTTTGAATCAAACATTTCACATGTATATTTTTTTTTCTTTTACTGTTTCTGTGAAATGACAGTTTAAAAAATTCTATGCTGATAATGTGAATGACACATTAATATATTATAAATTCCTAGAGCTTTGAATATAATTAGCTAAACTGATTCAGATATACTACTAATAAGCTGATTAACAAACGAAAGAAACTTTCAATAACTCAGATGATTATAATCTGTATATTACATAGACTAAGCTATCATCAACCGTAGTAGTCTGTTTTATTTGAAGTAAGACTATATTCAAAGAAAGATGATTTTGGTCAATACACGAAATAATGCAAACTCAAGAAGTTACTGGCTGTTCATTTGAACTCTAATGAAATAAATAGGCTTTCTGCTAGGATATTAAAAAAACATTGACTTTCATAACTGGTGATCACAAGCATTATCGTACGGAATCAGTCATAGTGATGCATTTGAGGCGTTAAACTATTACTGCATACTCTTAACCCAGTTATCATTCTTCTGTTACATCTTCCAGTTTTTTTTGATAGAAATTGATCTGATTAGTTAATTTTTATTATTTGTTGACTTCCCACTGATCTACTGATTTGAAGCATGGCTCTTTAAAATGATGTACAAGTTTATCGAATTCAGTACTTGTTGTAATGTTTGCCTATTCTTTGGAGGCAGCATATTATTCATGATGTAAATCCTTCGAACTTAAGAAAATATCAGACTGATTAATTTAGTTATATATTTCCTTCTAAAAACTTATAAACTTTTATATTTTCTGATTTCTATTTTGTTTTGTACAGGCCTCAAGCTGTTAGTGTTAGTGAATTTCTTTCACGTTATGAAAAAATATTTAGAAGAGTCTTGTTCTGCTTTAAAAGAAGAATTTCAGGTACAGTTTTAACGTCCCAAATTAGATTTGTTTATTTGATTTATAACACACAGTGATCTAGTATTATTTACTTGATGACGTTTTGAGCATAAATCCTCTGTTGCTCATAATCATATCAATGTAATCATACTAATTTCGACATTTGGTTTTTACAGTTACGCCACCCCATATGAGTTGTTTTTATTGGTAGCAAAATTTTCCCTATTTCTGGTATAGGTGTTGCATCATTCTCATTACATGTGTTGAGTAATGATTTGATGAACAAAAATTCAGTAATCAATCTCTCTCTCCACCTAATTATATTGGATAAAGCTACTGTACTTAAGTCCAATATAATTAGGTGGAGAGAGAGATTGATTACTGAATTTCCGTTCATCGAATCAACACTTAATACATGTAATGAGAATGACGCAACACCTGTGCCAGAAATAAGGAAAATTTTGCTACCAGTAAAAACAACTCAAATGAGGTGGCAAGGTGGCATAACTATAAAAACCAAATGTCTTGGTCATATTGTGTTCTCTGAGATGGGTTGTTTAATCGTGAAGTGTTGAATTCATACTGAAGTTAGTGCTCATGATATCGTTAGAAGGACGATGAAAGCATCACGATTAAACAACCCAGCTCAGATAACACAATACAATGAAGACCATCCACCTGAGCTACAAATATTCTTCACTATTTCAAAAATCAAATGTCGAAATTAGTATGATTACATTGATATGATTATGAGCAACAGAGAATTTATGCTCAAAACGTCATCAAGTAAATAATACTAGATCACTGTGTGTTATAAATCAAATAAACAAATCTAATATGGAATTGATTTCTACCACAGTACCCAACTTTTACACATATATTAACAGTTTTAGCGTCGCTTATGATTTATTATATTTGTTGTCCAATGTGCACAGAATATACTGTGCAAATTGAAGTTGTTTTTCTAGAAAGCTTAACTTAAACTTCATTAGCTCGGTATTCAGAAATGGTCTACAGGTAACTGCAATATCGTGGTCTTGAATTTCACTGAATGTTGTGAAACTTGAAATTACAATGAAACTTCATGCATACAACCTCATGTCATTTTTTCTGGTACTAAATTCAAACTTTTTCTTAGGTTGATCAAATTTTCAAATGTAACTTAAGATCTTATCATTGTCTTGTTAGATTAATCCCAAACTTTAACTGTCACACTTTTCTAAATATAACAAGAAATCCACTGAGTCTAAAATAATGGTATGTACGTTTTGCATATCATTTTGCTGATATTTATTCATGCTTTCGTCACATAAATGAGGGAAATATCTATATTTTTAGTTTTATAGCGATTTTATAAAAATGTTTGCATGACAAATACATATCATGTTAGTTGGTTGTAGACAATCGGTAGGAAAACCAGGGCTTAGACTTCCTACTTGTTGGCACTTGTCAGAAATGCTCATCTCCAACCTCGAAGGAACTGATATATTCTCTGAGATTCGAATATGCGTCATTCACTGTTTTCTTCAGTGAATATGGAGAGGATATTAGTTCCCTGTAATTGGCAGATACGCCTTGCTGATGAATACCAACAATCGCGAAATCAAGGTCTAGACCTTTCTGTCAACTGTCACCAGCTAACTAACATATATCAAACTGCAGCCTAATTATGAGCCTCCTAGCTTTTTGGGCAAAATGCAAATTGATCGGTAGAATTCGGCCAACCCTCAGGACTAGACAACTTGAAAATGGTTGCTTTCCCGAGACTAGTCATTGTGTAGATATATATCATGTAGTTCAGCCGCTGATAATATCCTCTAAAAGGGAAATCTGAGCAGTCACTCTTGTAAGCTCTCAAGTTCATTTATCCGGTTGTTGAAGAGTATTTCCATTCACCTACAGTAAGTACACCTTAAAGACAGAACATCAGAACAACTTTTAAAAATAATGGAATCATAAAAGTAGTTAAAAAATACTGACGCATAAAGTTCATCACACATTCTCAGCACAGCTATCTTCTTTATATAACCAAACTGCTCCACTTTTCAGCATTCATATTCAAAGTAAAGTCAAATTTCGAAGAATTTTAACAGAAATGGGCAATAGCTGTTGAGGATCTTTTCATATGTGGTATACCACCGAGTAGTTTTTACCTCTCTAGATTACAATATCTGATAAATATAAAATGCCTTAGTCTTTGTCTTTATAAATATTCTTTCTAATCCCCATTTTCTTTCTCTTGTCCTCTGTTGTGCAAAGTTGATAGTGAATATCAGTCAGGATATGATTCTTTCAGATATGCTTAGCCGAGAAATCGGACAAAAAAATGCCAATAAAAAGCTAAACCGTTTCGTAGATATCCTACCATGTAAGTTTTGTTGAATAATATATATAGATTAACCAAATCACTAAATTTTCTATCTATTTTGATTATTTATCTGTTCTTCATGGAGACTTAAATTTGTTTTACTCAGAAATATAATCAGAAACAAAGTGGCTGGCATTAAGATATGCCTTGTTGAACAGAGCTTTCAGCTTCCCAGCTTCATACAAAAAGAAGTGAAGTAGGACGGAATTATATTAAGGCAAATAAACTTTAGAATGCTTAAAATAGAAAAAGATTAGTGGCTTGGTACAATATACTGATTTTATCACCTTCAGTTTCTTGAAGCCTGATTCCACTGATACGGTAATCAGTGATATTAGTGGTAGGCTAATTATCTATGGTTGCATGAACTACACTCATTGGTCCATGAAACCTAAACAGTTCTAAATGTATGACAATAAAAGAATAGTTGTTATATCAAGTGACTGATAAGCTTGCCTGATGTAGTCCAAGAATAGATCAATCTAGGTTCAAATAACTTTTTGTAAACATTACTCAGTGTGACCTTAAGTTGAAGTGATTTCAAACTGTGTTAAAATAAAGTCACTGAAAGTCGATGATATACTTAACTGGTGTTTTTACAAAAGTGTTCCGAATTACCTTAAGATTTCTATGACAAAATGTAGTGACTTGTTGAGTAATGTTAAGTGATTTACTAAACATATTGAAAACTTTATAATTCATGATCTTTTAGTACTAAAGAATGAACTTCAAATAACTGGATACTCTATATGAAGTGTACTTTCTTAATAGAATGACGGTAACCTAATCCTAAGTAATGCAAAAAGGTGTGTACCTTCGATAACTTTAGATAATATATTCAGGAGATTAATATTTCGAGACGATAATATTTCGTAGCTTCTCCACAACTGAACAATAAGTAAAATGGTCTGAAATGACAAATTGTTTTTATTTTGAAGTCTATGGGGATTGAGAAGTTTTAGGGCAGTATTCATTTTGAAATGACGTCAGCTGAAGAATAATTGGAAACCTGGGAGCAATGGACAATTTTTTCGTCCTACTGCTTGACTCCTAAGAAGTGCTTACCGATTACTATGACACTGATCGAACCCAAGACCTCCACGTCTCGTGGCAAGAACGTTACCATTTAATGAGACTTGGAAGTTCTGAGTTTGATTTCTGGTGGCGCTTATTACTGAAGAGTACCATACTGACACAATACAGCTTTTAGTTGCTCCCAAGTTTTAAACGTCATTTAAACTAATGTTAGTCCATGATGAATACTGCCTCGAAATAAATTTTTTGTCGATATTTTCTGATCATGTGTGATACAATAGCATAAAAAAAGCCAACCGGTACAGTAAGTGAAGTAATTCAGTGCAGCTGAAGGGTTAATGGCTCATGAAATATACACGCTACTCGTTAAGAAGGCAGCTACTGTAACAAAGGAAGCTCTCCCCAAGAAGTAGCCATTTAAAGGTGAACTGATCACGCAAATAACTTAAGACAGAGTGATGCACTGACAAGCAAAACAGTGTGCTTCTCAGTAGTTATCACATCGTATTATTGGTTCTAATGTAATTAATACGAATAAGAATACACTATGGTCTTTTGCTAGACATTCATTGATGACTGATCACAAAATCAGTGCTAGAAATTGTTTTGCGGTTTTTTCATGTAACCGTAACCCATAGTTTAGAAGAAATGACGTAAGCACTTGGGATTAGTCAGATCTATGTAGAACTATATATGGAGTGGGCAATAGACGTTCCTTTTCTCCTAAGCTGAACTTATCATTTTATCTCATACAACTACAGAATATTGACATATAACTTATGATCATTTGACTATTTGAGATAACCGTAGTATGGCGGACCAGTATTTACACTGGGTGATGATTGAAGGTGAGAAGAAAATCTGGACTGCAGCTGGATTCGAACTAGCGACCACTTACTTTAAAGATGAACCTCATCACGAAGTGACATCAATTGCAAAACTACTGAAGAACTGGAAGCACTGAATAGTTATGTTGTCTAGTTTGGGACTCCTCAGTCGTGTGTACTCATAACACCGATTGGGACAAAGCGTAAAACCATCAGATTTAGTGCTAAGTGGGTTACAATTTAGCCATCAAGTTGAAGTCCAATCGTCCAGTTTTCTTTTTTCTTTTAATTCTCAGTCCGTAAGAATTCATCATTGAAAATATGTGTTGTTTGTTGTTGTGAGAGTGTAAAAAAACCCCTAGAGAATCTTACTTCTCAGCAGTTGTCTTCTAAATACCTTATTTTGATAAAACCTAATCACCACTTAAAATGCAAATTTTACTTTATTTAACCAGCTGCATTCAAAACTATTCTTAAAGTACACAAATCAGCATCAGTTTTTCAGTGAAAACCCTTTAAAAATAAACACACTGCAATCCATTGCTCGACAAATGTGGTAACGTATCATAATAATGTAGTAATTGAAAAACAGCCAACTTTAAACAGAATCTAGGTAGGAATTCATCATGGAAGGACATCAGTTGGAGGTTGCTTGGAAACCTGGGAGCACTGCACAGCTGTGCTGTCCTAGTATGGGACTCCTCAGCATTGAGAACCCATGAGCCTGCCCCTCCAGGGATCGAACACAGGATCTTCAGGTTCTATGGCCAGCACGGTATCATTGAGCCACTAGGTCGGCAGAATCCAATGGTCCACATTTCCTACTTCTGTCAGTTCACGATATAACGCGACCTGCATCCAATGTAGGAAATATGGACCATGGGATTCTACCGACCCAGTGGCTCAACGGTATCATGCTTGCCACGGAGCCTGAAGGTCCTGAATTCGATCCCTGGAGGGGCGGGTTCGCGGGTTCGCACTGCTGAGGAGTCCCATACTAGGATAGAACAGCTGTGCAGTGCTCCCAGGTCTCCAATTATCTCCCAACTGATGTCATTCCATGATGAATTTCAACTTAAAATCAATTAATAAACCTCCACAAATCTCCAGATAGAATTTTAAGTAGACCAGAGTAACAGCAATTTTGACCTTGATAAATCATTGGTTTATGCAACCTGACACTCAAATGTATTTATGTACGCATGTGTACAGACGTGTAGAAATTACTAGGAAAAATCTTTTTGTGGTTAAATTTGATTTCACTCATTGGTTTTTTAAAAGCCCAATACAGTTTGTTGATCCATGTGATATTCCATTAATTACTATACTGGATTGATATTGTTGACCTCTGTTCACAAATGAGCTCCTTGTAAAGATGCCAGGATAATACGTTTCAAAATGAAAGCTTACAGGGTTTCTTCTTCATGAATAAAATGGTCTCAAGCGCTTTCCAGTCTTTGAGGTAAGTGCTGAACAGATTGAAAGTTGGGAACCAAAGTACTTTTTTACATCATGAATAAGCAGTACACCTTATGAAAACAATTGTCTGGACAGACGGGCATACAGAGATGAAAATAAAAAATCTGAACTACTGCCGTCACCTCGATTCACTGATTTGTTTCAATTTACAGCAACAAAGAATGCAAAATTCACCCAAGATAAACCATTCAGTAAAATAAACAAATGGAATACTTGAGAGGTACCATTTATTTGTTCAAGTGAGTACTTTTAAGACCATGCTAATTAATTTAGGGATAGCAAGGTCCTCTGTATGTCTTGAACTGAAATTGAAGTATACTTACAGTGAGATACATACCTTATTTGTTACATTTATGTGATACTGCATAAAATCATAACGGTATTCTTTACAAAGTAACGCTTCGAACGTAATTTATTAATGATAACTACAAACAGTTAAATAAACAGTGGTGTATTACTGTGTTTCGAATCCATTATATTAGTTTAAAATGTAACTCAACTTCAGCAGTGTTCACGTTTAACTCCTACATTAATGGGCTTTGCTCATGTCTAATGCAAAACGATTTATCACTACTTTTCTACACTGCCACTATATGCCTCAACGCTTTAACTTTTTCACCGATTATAGAAGTCAAGTCAGTAAGAACGGATTGCTTCGCCACGAATAAAGGCATAAGGCTGCATCTTGTGTTTGCTAACCTGTATCATCTTTCATTAAGGTACAAGAAGGCCTTACAAAACAGTCACAAGCTTCTTATTTTGGGTGTTTTTTTCAGTATTCTTTTTTTAATAATAATAATAATGGTTTTATTCTGAAAGCTATTTCAAGAATACTCTACAGAATTTTCAGCATGTCGTATGGCACCAATTGGATGGAAATAATATATATGTATACACAGTAAAAGAATTAAGTAGAAATTATATAAAAACGATAAGTATATTCACTTTATCTACAACTTTCTTGAAAATGTACAGTTAATTTAGATAGACAATCACACTAACAAGTAGATTCATAATACGTAAGAAGTAACACGCTCATCTTCAACTAGTTTACTTTCGAAAACAAAAGTTGATTTTTAGTTCATTTTTAATACGTTCTTGATCGCACAGCAGACTGGCTAAATACGGTATTGTAGAATTTTGTTGTACGTGCATAAAGTCTAATGTACTTGCTCCTCATCTTTCCAGATGACCAATAAGCAGAGAGGTTTGAGTGAAGAGGATGTTGGTCATCTGATAAAATGACTCCTGCCAGATGTTTATATGTTTTAACCAGAATGTTTAGGCGTAAACCACTAGTCCTGCTGACAATCTTCCAAGTTCTACGCAGTATAGCATAGTCTTTTTACAGCAACCCGGGAGAAAATGAAGGGGAATAAAAAAGGAGAACAGGTAAAATGCAGTTTATAAAACACAAGAGGAGAGGCTGAGGAATACCAGATACTGTTAACTTCTCAGTATAGGAAGTTAGACTGAAAATCCCTTTGAAAATTAGTAAGAAGAACCAAAGTGAGCAATGTTGACGTCACGCAATGAGTTTTAGACATTGGAGATAAAGCAGCAGATAAGATTATAAACCTCCACTGATTTCTGTAGCTAAGACATACATTACATGCTCAACTGAAGTGGTAAGGTTTAGTGAAGTAACCGGTATGCAGTTCAACATATAAAATAGTGTAAATATGCATCATTTTAAGTTTTTGCACTTCTCGATAACACAAAGAATAAAAGGGAGGAAGTAGAACCATATCGAAGAAGCATTAGCTGTAACTCATAAAGTTTGACTACTAATTAATGTACTCGATGAATTTTATTGTTGTTTGGTACCTTTAATTTTCGAATACTATACAAGCTCAAACTGGATGAACTTTGCTGGGAGATTGGTTCCTATGCGGATACCTCGATACTGCAGGATATTCACCTTGGTGACTCGCAGTAGAATCTAGAACTGGCGTTCCGTCCTATTTAGGACTTCTCAACTGGATGTACTTGCACCCTAGTGAGCCATGTTGTTCTCACTGAGATTTGAATTCAGTATCTCTCGCTTCAAATCCCAAAGCATTATCTCCCAGGTTATTGGGACAGAAAAATTCAGCTGACGAGTCCTAACTAAAACGCATCTTGCTATCTGGATTCAACTGCCGGTCACCAAGATGAATCCAACATCATGAGTGAGTTTTGAGCCATTGAATTAGGCTCTTCGAGATTTTAGGAATGCCAGTCATATAACCTAAAATAGAGAAGGACTGTACCTATGTAATCGCTACTTATCCTCAAAATTACAAACATTTTGGGAGTCACCAACTTATGTTTTCCATTTCTTATATCATTTCGACGATCTAAGACAGCCGTATAAATACTAGTCTGCCAAACTTCGGCTATCTCAGATAGTCAAAATGATAATCAATATGATGCTCCCCTTTTTAATTCAGTCAGATCAGGATTTGAACGAAAAGTCCTGAGTAGGTAGGCAGTGTGAATACGATCGAGTGGTAGCAAGGCGTCACGAATTCACGTGGTAGTCAGAAAAAACCCATAGTGACTGAAATAAAATAAAAATCTGCTCAGTAGTCGGACCTCGTAGCTGAGTTGGTAGAGTGTCAGGCCGGAAACCCGGTGGTCGCTGGTTCGAACCCAACCGTGGTCCAAACTTTCATTTCACCTTCATATGTTATATATATATATATATGTTAGAATATGATAATGTGGTGTTTCATAGTGCAGCAACTTGAAATGATACAATTAAATGCGCAATGCTACATCAGTTCATTTAACCTTGTGGAGAATCTTTTTGCAGCAATAAGATGAAAAACAGTTAAAAATTTCTATCAGCTTTTTGTTCAGAGAACAACAGTCTGGCGTAAAGGTCAATTTAACTTTCTCCCTAGTTCACTTGACTAATCTCCTCCTCGTTTTTCAGCTTTCTATCTCTTTTTATGCGTAATTTTCGAATGTTTGACATCCTTAAACAGAGCATAATTTTGTTAGGTTTCTTGTAGTTAAATCACTTGAGGCGGTTATAAAACAGAAGTGTCATCGACATGCAGACAATTTTTCAAATTCGTCCAAACGTATCTTAACTCTGTTATAGTCTGACAATTACCTTACTCTCTAATTATCACTGCATTCTAATGCTTAAATGTTTCTTATTGTACCAAATATTATATCCTAATAGATGAGACCCTATTTGAAATTAGTATCTTACTCAGAAGAAATGGTTTACCATTCATTCCTTGTGATGTGACTGTCGAGTTATGCATGAATAATATTTACACAATACATATTATTGACCTGGTGACCTAATCATCGGATAGCAGTTCCATTCATTTAATCCAAAGCTCATTTTTAGGAGCTTACATCTTTATGTCTGCAATAAATTACAGTTACGCTCATAAGCTACAAAATCAAAACCTGATAGTTGATCTAGTTGCTTAGATACTAGAGCATGAAAGTAGAGTTGTGGCTCATTGGGATACGGAGTTGATTTCCAACCTATGGGTAACGGGTTTGAAAACCATTCCACCTACCGAGGTTTGGGTGGACAGGTAGTATCACTAGTCTTCATACAGCAGTTGTCATTTATTGCCTACTACACAAGATTGCTGAGTGGATTTCAATTTTTGGTTCCAAAGACCATGAAACTTTGAGTTAAGGAGATTTATTTGACAAGCTGTCAATGAGCATGTTCCTTAACATTATATCATCGTGAATTCAAAGAGCTATCCATATTTTTTTCAGTTTCGTACATAAATCCTTGAAGGGGACAAAAGATAAACTAGTTATTAAAATATATCATTTTGACTATATGACATATCCTTGGTTTAGCAGATTTGCAGACTTGCGACCACCTGTTGGTCACTGGTTCGAATCCGGCTGCGGTCCAAATTTTCATTTTATCTTCAGTCATCACCCAGTACTAGAATATGTGTCTATAACACATTCTGGTCCTCCTCAATGTTGAACTTTACTGAATGGTTAAAAAATTTTATGACCAACTTTTAAAACGCTTTGTTTTTACTATAAAATATTTATTTTCTTTCTCCCTTCATCAATATGTTAGATGATCAAACACGAGTGAAATTAAATCCTTTTGAAAAGTGTAAACAGGTAAGATAATTTCTTAATAAGTGTTATCTCAAATGAACTAAGTAATATATTGGATATACAAATGGCTTGATGCTAACATATCTGACTACAATGCAGAAAACCAGAAGAAATGTTTCAGTGTATGAGGCTGTATGAATTTTTGTCAATGTTGCAATTTCATCTTATTGATCGATTTCAACGATACAGAACTACTAGACTTAACACCCTTTTTCCCTACAAACCTCAACTGTCAAACATCAAGTACAGTGTAACGTGACTTCAAATTTCTAATTGTCTAATAAACAAATGATGAGATCAATGCCTAGAGTTTATTTAGTACGTAGGAGTGAACAAAACAAAACATTTGATCCCCTTTCAGTGACTTATCAATATGCTAGAGGTATATGTTCTACCTAAAAGAGAAAGAATATCAACTAGAGGTTATAACTATTCTGTTTACTCTCATCTGAAGTCATTATGCTGACGCCAAATATAGTAGGCTAATTAAAACAAAGTCAAAGTAATCGAACACCCAGACAGAATGGTTTCATAGTGATTCCACTGAATTATCTTGTTGAAACTTGCTAAGATGATAGTACGTTACTATATGCCTCATTGTAAGTCAACTTTCGGATGTAATTTAATTTGTGTACAGGTGTTAGTTACTTTCAGTGTGTAATAATTTTGTAGACATATTTCGGAAAACTCTCTTTGTTTCTTTACGCCGGTGAAAACCTTTAACTTAGAACATTTCACTTGTTTACAAGCATATGTTTCGAATAAAATTACTTTCCGGACTTATATTTGCTTTCGTATGAAGTAAATGGATTAACCTAGTAAAGAAACTATAATGTCGGTGGGAGCTGTTTATTACAACTACCAAATACAAGTCGTTTTAACAATATTACAGGAGCCTTGATGAACAATAAAGCTAATGAAATCAACCACCCATGGAACCATTTATTTCATTATTGTATGGAGATCTGATTGAATCATCAGAATTTAGTTCCTTGAAGTTACTGATGGAATAAATAAAGTCTTGTATAAATAGCGGAATTCATCTATTTGATCATAGGAAAAGACAAGACGTGATTGGCAGCGAATTTTTTTTATATTTTCGACGAAGTCATTTACTAAATTGTATATTCGTGAATATACGTAACAGTGGGCAGAATATCCCAGAATTATTTCCGGTTAGAGGGCAAAATATATTGAATAACTAAAGGAAGTTTATTAATTCACATTTCAGTTTAGACTGGGGAAATAGACAAGGGATCATGAAAATAAAATTATAATTATGTAATACCGGATAAATCTGTGATAGAGTAGGAAAATAAACAGGGGATTATGAAGATAAAATTTCAATTACGCAATGCATAGATCAGGTAGAAAGCGTTTCATTGTGATCGCTTCTGCAAAACGCAGCTATCCAGATATTTTCTGTATGCTGGTTATTTTAAAAGCACTCGAGGTTTCAACCTGATACGCTGTGTATAAAAGGTGTCTGATGACTGAATTTGTTAGAATTTTACTTCTTTTCAAGCATAGATTCTCGGGGATAGGCTCTACAAACCGAATGGATACCATCGTTTCAGTTCTTCTGATGTACTTGCTGCCGCAAGTGCAAGTGAATTCATAAATACAGTTTGAGGTAACATGAGCAGGGTAATTATCCCATTTCGACTGATTCAGACAGCATTTGGTATTGTATGCTGATATAAGTTCAGCTGCAGGTAGGCTCCATCTCAGTGCTCCTTTGATCCTTGTGTCCATTAGCTTGGATACCTCATCGCCCTTGAATGTAAGGTATATAAAATCCTTCTTTTCCACAGTTGATTGTTAGTTTCTGTTGATCTGTTCTTCTTCCACACTTCATGATAAATCTCTTAAGATATTCATTCTCTGGGAGACACTTCTCAATCAAGTTTAGTTTTACCTCTAAGTTTTTCGCAGAACATAATTTACCAGCTGTGTTGTAAAGTGTTTCGTCTGGCTCATGCTTATAGCTGGTAGGACAAAAACTGTATAGTTAGGGTATTGTTCGGTCCATGTGTCTTTTTTGGATGGTCTTTTCAATATAACCATTAGTTCTCCTCGCACTGAGGTCTAAAACACTGAACTCGTTTAATGTTCATATTCCATTATAAGTTCTATGTTAAGATGGGACTCGTTGAGCTTGTCAAACAAATCACTTGCATTTTTTATGTCATTACCAACAACAAAGGTGTCGTCAACGGACCTATGGTAAAAGGTTGCTCCACTGATGATTGGATTCAGGCCCATCTGTTCAAGACAACTGAATTTTCAGATATTCAGAAATTATGTTATAAACCATTCCTTGCAACTAATCAATTTTATGCTGGTCTGTTCTCTTCTATTCAGTCGTAGTTGGAGGTTTTAAAATACTTCGGAAAATAAACAATAAATATAGAAGGTGAAATATTCTGAATGGTCAACTGCTTCTGCAAGCTATCGGAAACAGTGAAATGTTTGTATTGCAGAAAATATGGGTGTTCTAGTGAAATTATTGGTCGGTTTGCATTGTTTTACAGCTTTAAGTGGTATTTCAGAAACAATCCTCAATGTAAACTACGTTTAACTGACAAACTTAGATTTTGAGGGAATTGTGGGGATTTGGAAGTATTTCAAGTTGTTATTCATCTTTGACCAACATCAGTTGGAGGAACACTAGAAACCTGGGAGCACTGGACAGCTGTTTCATCCTAGTATGGGACTCCTCAGCAGTGCGCACCCACTACACTGCCAGAGATCGAACCCGCAACCTTCAGGTTCCTTGGTCAGCACGTTACCATTGAGCCACTGGGTCAGAATCCAATCCTCCGTATTTCCAACTTCTGTTGGCCCATGATATAGCGCAACCGCTTTATTGTTATTGCGTTGTGCATAATCCATCTTTTAAGTTTGTAGCTAACTAATATCTTAGTAATCTCCAGGCAGTGAATTTGTGAAGTAATCAAAAGTTGGCGTATGATGGCAATCACAAAGCCAGACGCGTAAACTGCATTGAAAAAAATTGCATTATGAAAATACTTTTCAGCGTTCCCTTTTAGTTCAGCTTCATTATTCAGTCCTTGGAAGGAAACTGAAATTGTGAAATACAATTCGATCAAGATATATAAAATTATACGAACTGCCGGATTTAGATAAAGAGCAGAAATGTATACGCTCTGGAATGAGTTCGCGGACACGTTTTACAAGTGGACGCATAATACAGCCAATGTACTCAGCTCCAGAAGAGCAAGTAAGCTGGTATACACTTTAATGATGTGGCCCTAATGCATTGGCTTGTCTTTCACACACTGATCAAAATGTTTGTTGCAAAAGAAAATAATTCAAAGGTTGACGGCGAAGTATGTTCTGTTTTAGGATTTTGATGGTAGTTTCTTGAGGATGCCTAAAGCAATATCATTTTTCAATTCAAGATTCAGCAAAAGGGTTGTTTTCGGCACCAAATGTGTTCGTTCAGTTGGGTTCTTTGGCTCTATGTTCGTATCTATGAATCTGAGTGGGAAGCCGTTTTCCGCTAGAGTTCGTTAAAGACTTTGTGGTTCTCTGAACATATTTTCTTGATCCTCGAGGAAGGTGAATGCATAAAATTCCTCTTCTTTAATATAGTTGTTTAACTTGAGCACTTGGAAGAATGTAATTCCATATTAGATTTATTTGATTTATAACAAAAGTGGTATAACATTATTTACTTGAAGACGTGTCGGGCGTAAATTATTGCGCATAATCATACCAATGTAATCACACAGCTTTTGACATTTGATGTCTATAGTTATGTCACCTCATATGGTTTATTTTTATTGGTTGTAAAATTTTCCATATCTCTGGTATAGGTGTTGCGTGTTGATTCAATGAACAAAGATTTCGTAATCAATCTCTCTCTCCACCTAATTATATTGGATATAAGTACAGTTACTTTGTCCCACCCTATTATGTGGTTGTATGTTAATGCATCCATTGCAATAGCCGAATTCTTTTCCATATTAATGATCTCATTCGGGTTTGTCATTCTATATTTAGCTAAGTTCCTATGTTCGGCTATTCTAACTGACTCCGACCGGCTAGTTTAACCTATGTACTTGACTTCACAGTCGTTGCATGGAATTTGATAGATTATGTTATTTTGCTGAATTGGTTCTAATGGATCCTTAAGCCGACAAAGTTTATCTCTGAGTGAGTTTTTAGGTTTGAATGCCACCCCAATTCCAGCTTTGTTGAGGATCCTACGTAAAGTTTCTGAGGTTCCTTCCTCATAGGGTAACACAATGGAGGCTGTGAACTCCTTTCTACTTATGTTGTTGTTATTAGTCGTACTCGTGTTACTGTTATTTCGTTTGACTTAGGAAGAGCTTGAAGTGTATTTCCTGTCAAGTTAACAAAACAATTAAATGTAGACGTAATGATTTCTTCAAATTTTAGTGTGGTCTTCTCCAGGAAGAGAACCAAGGTTTATAATTTAACAATCCAGTTCACAAGACGTAATATCCATATGATCATCCTCCTCGGCTGCGGGGATATAGACATGTACAATTAGTTTCACAAATCTTCTTAGTGTATACGAATTCACTAGATGCTATGCTTAACTCTTTAGTTTCGACTTTAAATTTTCTTTTGATATCTCGACAATACAATTGGTATTCATAGACCTCAGAATGCTGAAAATTGTTTTACGTAGCATAATCATAATAGTCTAACAATAGTCATCTTAGCACCACACAGACTTATCGGTTTCTATATTCAACTGAGGAATAAACGTTAATGGGAAGATATACTGTAGTTAGAGATCATTTTTTCCCTTCATAGTTCCTAAAGTATTTACTTCCTCCCGTTTTAATTAAACTCAATAGCTGGTTGTGATTCTTACATAGCAACGAAGTGATTTTAGTAACATTATGCTCATTTGTCACATTACAGGATATAATTCGATGATAGCTGATGGTTGGTTCACGATAATGACTGCACGTGATCAACTACATACCTTCTTTAGATTTTGTTCTTGGATGAATAATTAGGAAATTATGCTGGAACGTAGATCATGTGTTTGTTGCCTGTATTCTGCTCAGAGTTATTAACCTTTTGAATGCATCAACGGATGACAGGAAATGTAACTATGAAGTTGAAGTTACCTAATGGAAAGATCTCTGATTCCGATACCTAGTAATACAATGTTCCAATCTTTGAATGAACAATTGCTCTCTCAGGATTACAAACACATTCTACTGATGAGTGTCAACAAGAACAAAGCCTGAGTCAATACCTTTAGCTAAATTATACCTAACAGTGGTATACCTTATTTATGTTCATATTTTCCAAATGTAAGTTATTTCTATCTACGGCAACTGGTTGTAGAATACTAAATAAGTAGCTGAAAATGAGCTTAATTTAGAAGGAAGTGAAGCAGCCTAATTCACGCTGTCTGTTACACAATAACCTGGTTGCTGGCTACTAGTTTGTTTTGCTACTTAGTCTTGAATGAACACGATTCTATGCTCTACTTCACAATAAGTTCAATTCAATATCAAAGGATTCTCAACAAAAGTCAATCACAGAAAAAATCATGAACTATTCCAAAAAGTTAGGATTAGGGTATTCTACAAATTCGCAGAGGTGTGCATAAATAATGCTATGTAAGACCGATACTGAAATCTTCAGTTTCCTTTACTAGCAGTGCTGATCTCTAAAACCAATTACTCATAGCATTGTCGTCCCATTGTTACCATTACTAACCCCATTTAGTTTAATGACATCATTTTATCATACAACCGCGTTCCACTAAAGTGTAAATTTCGCATACTTTATGATTACTTAACATTTATTCTTCTTCGTATAGCTTCCATTTATTTCCTAGTTGATCTTCGCACCTCTTATCATTATTTTCTTCATTTCCTTATCATCTGTTTTCCATAGTTTCCAACTGATATGATGATAAATAAGTGTATCTAGTTGGGTGGATACACAATCAATTAACTGAAATTCATAAAATATGTGAAGCTGTATGTGGTTGAAGTTTGGGCAGTAGGTCAGGAGGGTGAACATCACCCCATCCACCGAGCTCTGAATAGCAAGAAAGTAGCACTGACCCTTATATTAAAGATGTGTCTCGTTGCCCAGTCCCCGAATATGCAGGTTGTTACTGAGGGCGTTTCGACGGCTAAGATGTTAGCAACCAGTATTTGAAGACTCTTGATAACATGGCTTAGTATCACTGATTAGTCACGGGACAGCAACCAATTTCATGTTGTCTAGTCCTGAGTACTCACCGAATTCTGTCGTTCATATTTGCAATGTGGCGACCAAGCTCAGTGGTAACGTTGTTGACTACAATACTGGGTTCAAATTTCAGGTGAGATATAAGTTTGACAAGGTTGCAAATATACCTTGCTGATGAGTGCCAACAGGGAAGAAACCTGGGTTCAGAGCTTCCTACGATTGCCTGGAACCACCTAACATCTGTAAATGAATGTTTGTCATTTCATGTCTTCGGTATTTTGAACATTTTACTTCATTCTTTTGTCATGCTTTTCTTCATGTACTTTTGTCTACCTTCAGGTTATACTTTTACTACCCACTTCCTCTTTGTGGACTGTTGTGATGTGTGACAAGTTGAAGTGATGCACTTTCCAGCAGTGTTTTTAACTGACTTGTCTCATTTTTTTCCCATATATACCAGATCCTGTCTAACTTTTTCCTACACATCTATAACTCAAATTTGATGTTCAACGTTTTTATTTTATAGGAACATGATTATGTGAATGCAAGCTTCATCTATGAAATTATACCTTGTACTAGTGCTACAACACACCCCGTACTGAATAGAAATAAAGTTGATTATATTGCATCACAAGCACCATTAGAATCAACAGTTGGAGATTTCTGGAGAATGATACTAGAACAAAATGTTACACTCATTGTTATGCTAACAAGGTGGGTAAGAAAAAAAGTTAGTAAGTCAATATCTGATTATACTTGCACATATTGCAGGCATATTTCTTCTGACTTCAAGTGTAGCATACTAGAGTGGCAATACTTTGACCAATAAAAGAGTTGTCCAACTGTTTTTGAAACACAAAGAGAAATTCGGTAACTCGTGGAGTTAGCAGTACTACTGGCGTTTATTGGTGCTTTGAAAGGAACTATGGAATTCTCTGATACCATTTGCTGTGATGATAGTTCCAGTTTCACACTTAGGTGTAAAGGACAAAATCTTAGATTTAAAGTATTTCACCGCAATATTCCACATTTCTGGTGACGTTCTTCTTAGCAATCCCTATTAAGGAACAAGAACCCATAAAGGGAATGATCGCGCAGATCATTGTGTAATATACAATATGTCGACATAAGGTTCTCTTTCAACCTAAGGCAAATCAATGGAAATAGTTCTGAATGTTGTAGCCGTCTCTTGTTAATGAAACTTAAAGACCCTTGAACTACTTCGCTGTCAATCTTTTAAACTTTAAATAGCATTTCTGTTTTGGGTTTGAAAAGCTGATTCACCGCTTAAACCAACATAATCATACTAAGTTTAATGTATCTTGATTATATTATCCGAAAAATGTCCACACCGAAGCTTTGGAATGCACTGTATTGAAAAGACAGAAGTCAAAAACAGTAGGTAGCTAGAGTTTCAATGTCACAACTTAGTATAACTTTAAAATCCTTTCACTAAAAAAGACTGACATAGTAGCATATCACTGATCAAGTAGTCATGTAGACTGTCATATTCAAATCTCATGATTACACCCTTGCAAATGTTGAGATTCACCTGAATTGCTTGATCAAATCATCATGTAACCGTAGCATATTTTCGTCTCAACATAAAACTCAAAAACTCAACGTTATTCCTAGGCATAAGAATAGTAATCCGTCAATCAAAACTACGAAAATGTTATATTCTAGAGTTATTCCTCGAGAGTCAGGGATCTTTAGTAAACATCAATGGAGAGAATTCGATTGTTAAATATTACCTTTTATCTTCTACAAGGAATTTTTCATTGTAATTTTTAAAATAACTAAATATCACCTCAAACAGGATGTAGTTATCCCTTTTGATGATGAGTCTAGTAAAATGAGGTAATACGGATGGAAGCAAGCCTGTTTTGTAGTTAAAACTTTGCTCCTCCCTTCATGTGTATTGGAATACCACTATGAATTTTTTTTCCAATAAATTGACAACTGTGTTGTCAGACTATTCAGATGAGAGTTAGCTATTACATGTCTATATTAAGCTTCATATAGTGGATTGATAATATCTTCATTTCGGTAATCTGGGCAGGACTTCTAACATGTTACACAAGGCCGATTACAGGTTGTTACTCATCATAAACTAACGTCAGTTGGAGAAACATCGGAAACCTGGAAACACTGGACAATACCGGACAATACATGCCCATAGCCCCGCCAAGGATCTAGCCCAGGACATTCAGGTTCTACTGGCATCACGTTACCATTGAGCTACTGGGTTGGAATTTAACGGTCCATATTTCCTACCTCTGTCGTCTCACGATATAGTACAGCCTCCATCCAATGCCGTCATTGAGAAACTGTCATTATGTTTGACTTGGTTGACTCCACTGGTCACGACCTCTCATTAGAACTTTGGGAATCACCCCTCAAAGTTACTCACCAATGAGCACTAGGTTGATTCAATTCTGGGAATTTTGGGGATTTTTGACTTCAGGTTGGGTCCAATCCCTGGCGAGGTCATAGGTCCGCACCGTTGAGGAGTCCCATACTATAAAGAAATAGTTGTCCTATACTCCCAGGTTTCCAGCGTTTCTCTAAGTTATGTCAGTCCATGATGAATACCAACCTAGAATCATTAAATCCCCAAAAACCCTAAAAATGAAAATGGATTACAGTTTAGTGCTGATTTTAACAAGTTGTCGCACCTCGTTTAAATCAACAAACCTTTCGCAGTTTGTACTAAAGTAGTGCAGAGTTGTCAAGAGGATTACGAGTAGAGACAAAAACAATAAATCAATTGCGACAAGATACTTAGTGTCTTGAAGTGTCAAGCCAAGTAATCTGCAATAGTTTGTGCCTGTTTGATCGGCAATAAATAATTTTATACATTTATGCTATATCTCAGTTCTCCTGCCTTCAAAGTTAACCCACCCATCATCGCACGCATTGCCTAAACATCTGCTTGACACGTGCGGAACATAAACGCATATATATATATATATATATATATATATATATATATATATATATTATTATTATTAGTCCCTTGGGTTCCTAGTGGAACATAGGGCTTCAGTAGCACGCCTCCAGTGACCTCTGTTCTCTGAGATCTTTTGAACCTGGTCCCACGACAGCCCACAAGCTCTCATTTCCTCCTCGCACGACCTCCTCCATGTCACCCTCGGACGTCCAACTCGTCGCTTCCCATGGGGATTCCACTCGAGGGCCTGACGCGTGATGTCCTCAGTCGGCCTTCTCAGTGCATGGCCAATCCATCTCCACTTCTTCCTGCATATTTGTTGCGTGATAGGTTCTTGGTTGGTTCGTTCCCAGAGTTCCTTGTTGCTTATTTTTTCTGGCCATCTGATCTTCAGCAGCGAGCGTAAGCAGTTGTTGATGAATGTCTGTAGTTTATTGGAAATACCTTTCGTGACGCGCCAAGTCTCTGAGCCATACAAGAGCACTGACTTGACGTTGGTGTTGAAAATCCGTATCTTGTTCCGCATGCTGAGTGCAGAAGATCTCCACACTGGTTTCAGGCTAATGAACGCCTGTCTTGCTTTTCCGATTCTGACTTTGACGTCCTCGTCCGTCCCGCCTGTAGTTGAAACAGTGCTTCCTAGATAAGTGAAGGAGGTTACTTCCTTTAAGTTTCTCCCGTTGACGGTGATTGGAGTTTGTTGTTGTTGTTGATGGTGGTGGTGCGGTATCTTCATCACTTCTGTCTTCTCTATATTCACCTGAAGTCCCGTCTTCGCTGCCTCTTCTATCAACTTGTTAGTTTTTGCCTGCAGATCTTCAAGTTTATGTGACATTAGGCATAAGTCATCGGCGAAATCCAAGTCTTCTAGGTTCTTTTCCGTCGTCCAGTGTATCCCCCTCTTCTCGCTGCCTACTGTTTGCTGCATGATCCAGTCCACCACAATAAGGAATATCATGGGGGATAGTAGGCAACCTTGTTTCACTCCTGTCTTCACTTCAAAGGCATCACTGAGCTTCCCATTGTGGATTACTTGGCATGTGGCATCTTCATATAGTTGTTGAATGAGGCGGATAAAGGTTTGCGGTACTCCGTAGTATTGAAGCAGTTTCCAAATTACTTCTCGGTCGACGCTGTCAAAGGCCTTCTCAAAGTCGATGAAGTTGAGGTGGAGAGGTGATTGCCATTCTATGCTCTGTTCTATGATGATACGAAGCGTTGCAATTTGGTCTGCACATGATTTGTACTTCCTGAAGCCTGCCTGTTCCGGTCGTAGTTTTGAATCCAGTGCATCTTTAAGCCTCTCCAGGATGATGCGGCTTAATATTTTACTTGGGGTGGACAGGAGAGTGATTCCGCGCCAGTTCTTGCAAGCACTGAGGTCTCCCTTCTTCGGCAGTTTGACAAGGTAACCCTTCTTCCAATCGTCAGGTACCTTCTCTTCCTTCCACACCTTCTGCAATAGTGGTGTGAGCATGGCCGCTGTTGTCTCTGCATCTGTTTTCAGTGCTTCTGGCGGTATTCCATCTGGTCCTGCTGCTTTCCCGCATTTCAGTAGCTTTATGGCGTTCAGGACTTCCATTTTCGTTGGGGGATTAATGTTCACTTGTAGTTCAGCGGCTGCAGGTGGTATTTCTGGACGAAGTGCAGGTGGTGGTCGATTCAAGAGCTTCTTGAAGTGGTCGGCCCATCGTTTCCTCTGTTTCTCTTCTTTTGTAATTAAATTTCCTTCTTCATCTTTTATTGGTTTCATCTGTGTTGGTCTCTTCCCTGATAGCAACCTGGTTATTTGATACAATGTCGTCAGGTCTCTCTTACCTGCAGCCTGTTCTGCTTCACTTGCCAGTGTTTCGTAGAAGTGTCTTTTGTCTTTGCGTGCACTCTTCTTCACTTCTTTGTCCAGTGTTTTATACATTGTGCTCAGTTCCTCTTGTCGTTGAGCATCCTTGCACTGGTTTATCTTCTGCTTCACCATCCTCCTCTCCTCTATCAGCTTCCAGGTATCCGTCGAGATCCATTCCTTGTCTTCTTTCTTCTTCCTTCCTAATACTGTTGTGCAGGTTTCTTTCCACATAGCTTTCAAAGACTTCCAGTGTTCTTCCACACAGGTTTCTTCAGGGATGTTGCTCGATGTCTCCCATTTTGTCTTGATGGCTGCCTTGAAGATCTCCTTTGTAGTTTCATCCTTCAGTTTCCGAGTGTTGTACTTGGGTTGAGGTCTATCACCAGCTTCCTTGAAGGCTTTTAACTTGATTTGGAAGGTTCCTTGCACTAGGTAGTGGTCTGAACCTACATCTGCTCCTCTTCTTGACCTTGTGTTAAGTAGACTGCGTCTCCATTTTCTTGAGATTGAGATAAAGTCGATTTGATTTTTAGTGTGTCCATCTGGTGAAATCCATGTCGCTTTGTGGATATCTTTGTGCCTGAACACACTGCCTCCAATCACCAAATCGTTGAATGCGCAGAATTCTGCAAACAATTCTCCATTCTCATTCATTTCACCTAGTGCCTCTCGACCCATGGTTAGTTCTCTTCCCGTGTTGTCCCCTCCCAGTTTGGCATTCATGTCGCCCATCAGAATTTTGATATCGCCAACTGACGTCTTGTCCAGTGTTGATTGAAGTTGTCTGTAGAATTCCTCCTTTTTCTCTTGCTCTGCATTATTTGTAGGTGCATAACATTGTATGATTGTGACCTTTCTTCCTTTTGAGTTGAATCTTGCTGTCATGATCCTGGAGGAGATTGGTTCCCACTGCATGAGAGCCTTCGATGCTCTTGAGGACATCATGATAGCCACTCCCTCAGTGTGCTCGTGGTTGGCGTCTGGGTGACCGGAGTAGATTATTGATTCTCCAGTTGACAGTTTGGAGAGTCCACTCCCATTCCATCTGCTTTCGCAAATCCCAAGCACTTCGATGTTATACCTTCTCATCTCCCTTGCAATCTGGGCTGCCTTACTGGGTTCAAACATCGTGCGGACATTCCATGTCCCCACGTTTACTTTCGCTTTCATCGAGAGAAGACACATCGGCCAATTGGCTTCCCGAAGGCTTTCACCAACTGGCGTCATTTCGCCTCTCCGATTCCAGCGGGGAATAAGTTTGTTTTCATTTTTTATATTTTGTTTGTGCTTTGAAGTTTCTTTAGCGGTTAGATTTGTTTTACGGGGTAGGGTTGCTAGCCCTATGCCCAACCTTCCCTCTTTACCCGGGCTTAGGACCGGCTAGTAACTAGTAAACTAGTTAACCAGGCGAGGTTATATATATATATATATATATTTCATAATTATTTTTACAGATTGTACGAAGAAGGTGTATCGAAGTGTTTCCAGTATTGGCCAACTGATATCCATGAGTCAACAATATTTCTATCAGATAGTTTAAGTATAGAAGTTACCCTTCTGTCCGAGGAAAATCATCAAGCTTATATTTTACGTAAGCTGTACGTGTCCTCGGTAGGTGTATATTTGGTTTATTATTATTCCTATTATCCCATTTTTGAGCATTTTTCAGTAGAAATGTTGAATACAAGTTTTTCATTGAAGGTAATCGATTAAAGGCTTTGATGCTATTCAAAAGCTGTTAGATATTAGAAAATATGCCATATGGCTGAATAGGTCAGGGAAAGTTTACACCCTGTGAATATTAGACAGAATAACATAGGACTGCAGTCAGGTGTACTGGTTTGAATCCTCACACTCAACAACAGTAACGAGAGGATTTATAGACCCGTAGAGCAAAAATATCTCTTGTGTTTCAGAGTTTTCAGTGGTTCTCGAACTAATATCAATCCCTTTTGAAAACCACTTTGATATCAGTTGTTCCATAAAACTACCAATTGAAAGGAATAAAAATATTTTAAAGTAAACAAAGATAATCGTCAGAGATCTCAGATTCGTTCACTTTTTCTCGTTTCATGACCTTCAGCTTTCCTTCAACACTCTTCTATTCGAAGGAGACGGTGACAGCACATGAGATAAATGGATCTTTAAGTCACAGAACAAAAGCACAATAGTTAAGAAAACTTCTCTTTTTTCATATGCTATGAAGAATTTTATTCGAACAACCTCGTCAATACCTTCACTGTAGCCTACTTATGTATACAATTTGCTCTAGAATATGAAACAACTTCGATGTTCTCTCTGATACGTGGGTTATTAACAAGAGGATCGGATAATTTTATGCAGTAATCAATCTACAAAAAACTAGTATGGACTGTGCAGTCCATGACTTTCGAAACATTTGTCCCTCACACTAGCAAACAGAACCTTATACGTTTGTTGTGTCCGAGAATTCGGAAGGTCTATTTTGGAGGTATAATGAGTAATAAGCTGGAATTTCTACCTAACATCCCACCAGAAAATGGTTACCCACCTGAACTCACTGACCCTAATGTTTAAGAAAAGCCACAGATACAAAAGTGACCAACCATCTCAAATAAAACCCACTATATGAATCTAAAATCCAAAAGTGTTATTGTTGCTGAAATCCTCAAAAATTGAGAACTAGGTTATTTGAGGAAGACATTTCATGCAGCTAGCCTGGAAATATAAAACTCAGCAGAAAATTATTGGATTATTATGTTAATGCAGATTACTTCTTTTGGTCACTATAATGTGTATCTGTCAGCGATACTCGTTCCTGTGGAGCAAGGTACATTGATTAATGAGCAAGTCTTTGCAAGAACTGACGAGGAATCATGCTCCTGTCCACCCAAAACAAGCAAAATATTAAGTCGCATCATCCTGGAGAGACTAAAGGATGCGCCGGCTTCAAAATCGAGACGAAACAGGCTGGCTTCAGGAAGAACAAATCGAGTGCGGATGAAATTGAACGCTACGAATCATCATACAAAAGAGCATAGAACGGCAGTAAACACTCTACCTCAACTCCACCGATTTTGAAAACATCTTCGACAGCGTCGACCGAGAAGTAATTCGGAAACTACTTCAACACTACGGTCTTAATGCCAAAAACCTTTATCAACTTCATTAACAGCTATATGCTATGTGATGCTATATGCCGAGTGATTCACAATGGAAAGATCGGTAACGCCTTTGAAGTGAAGACAGGAGTAAAACAAGGCTGCCGCCTACTATCACCCATGATCTTCCCGATTGCGTTGTGATGGACTGGACTGGACTGGACTGGATCATACATCAAACTGTGAGGAGAGAGAAGATGGGCATACGCTGGCTGACCAATGAAAAAACTCCAGAGGGAGATTTGGACTTCCCTGATGATGATCTTCGTCTAATCTCTTATGTTGCACAAACTCGAAGATGTACAGGGAAAAATCAACAAGTTGGCAGAAGAGACGAGGCAGTGAAGACGAGACTTCAGGTGAATGTGGAGAAGACGGAGGTGATGAAGATATCCAACCAGCAACAAGCACTAATCACCATCTACGGAAGAAGTGTAAAGGAAGTAGTCTCTTTCACCTAACACCCACCAAGGCAGGGCAGCATCTTTCAACTACAGGTGGCGGCACAGATGAGGATGTCAAAACCAGGACTGGAAAGACAGCAAGACAGGCCTTCCTGCATTAATCTGAATCAGTGTGGAGACCTAGTTCACTGCACTCAGCATAAAGCGTGAACAACATCCGGATTCTCAACATTCATGTCAGTCAAGTCAGTACTTCCTTCTATGTGATGGTTGAGAGACTTGGTGGGTTACGCAAGCATTTCCAACAAACTACAAACATACATTATCAACAGCTACTGCCTACGCTTACTCGATAATGAAAATCAGATTGCCGGAATACTAAGAGTAAGCAACAAGGAACTGTGGCTGTCTGACTGGCAACGAACCAACCAAGAACCCATCGCCCAGTAAATATGCGGTAGAGGAAAGTGGAGATGGATTGGATTAGACATACACTGAGATGACCTATTGAGGACATCAGGTGTCAGGCCAGGCCGTCGAATGGAATCTAAATGGGATTTGACGAGTTGTGTGTGGCAGCTGAGGGTGATATGGAGGAGATCATGTGAGTAAGAAATGAATGCTTGAGGGCAGTGATGGGAGTGTGTTGAAAAGATTGCAGAGTGGAGAGTGTAATGGAAACGTGCTACTGAAGTTCTATGTTCCTCTAGGAACCGTAAGGACAACTAATTATAATAATCTTCTTCTCATTTTGCTGTTCTTATTTCTCATTTGAAATGTTGTGAGATGCTTTTGGTTACCTAGCATAAGAGTTCTCAACTAGTAACTACAAATCACCTGTTCACATGACAGCTGAACAAAAATCTCTGTGTTTGTATGAAGTAAAGAATAAAACCTGACCAACTGGTATATTACTTAACTTAGTCGGTAGTGTCATGCAAATAATTTGGAGACTGATGATTTTAGTCCTATGTGAACTTAGCTTATCTTTAGACATCAACTGTTACTTTATTCAAATAAATTTATGCTGCATTATTCAGTTCTGTTATATTGTTTACCGTATTCTATTAGTCAAAAGATTCAGAAAATGCAAGGTGCATAGTACAACTGCATATGATTAGTTGGCCAGATTATGGTGTACCTAAATTGACTGAATTTCAAACACTTCTTAATGATTATCGAGAAATAAAAAGAGAAGAAATACATCGATTCACACCAACACTTGTACATTGCACGTAAGTTCTTATTTGAAGTGTTTGTTATCAATCGAAAAGTCATCAAGATACAGATACGGTCTCTAAGTATGGTGTCATTCTCATTTTTCTGCAAACTTTAAGGGATTAAAAATAAGGACGTTATACCAGTCAACTCTGCCTCCCGTGTTTTCAAAAGAATAAGACAACATATTTTGTTGGTTATAGGAAGCAAGAGGACCTTTTTCGACACACCGATCTTAATCCAATGGAGTACTAATTGAAGAGAAACAGAAATCATCATCGTTAGAGGATTGAAACTAGTGGCTGCTGAAGTAAATCGCCTAATCTGCTACCAGTCAATCCACGAAAGCACTCACTAGTCAGGTTTCTACTTCATCTTATCTACCAGTATTTACACCTTTAAGTCATGTTATCAAGCGTTTAGATAATAGACTGGTGGTTTCCATTTTCACTTCAATCGCTCACATAATACACTGAAACCAGTCTTCCAAAACAGTTTATCTCAGATTATCTAGCCAGTAATAAATTCTCTTTCAGATAGATGGGTCTAGACATTTAATCAATCTCTTTACTTGCAACATTTTGGTAGCCTTCTATGTAACTGGTAGGTAAATGTTCACCCCGATAATAATTTCTGTGTGGTTATGTTGAAGAAGGCATTGCAAAAACTTACATACGCTTTTCAAATATTGTCAACACAGGACCTGGCATTAATGGGTAACGAACGCTTGAAGTTATTGCACTTCTCATATTGTGTAATTTATTTATTTGTAATTTGAGTTTAGCTTTAATTGTAACAGATGAACTTCTGTCTTCATTTCTGCTCTACTCTAATTCTTGTTGCAACCTCAATTATCATTCACCATTAGGTAAAATTAGTCGGTCAAATCAATGCTTTCACCGATAACTTTTTTAAATTGTTGGCAATAAGGAAAGATGACTATAAGTAGTCTGTATCTTTGGATAAATATGAAATCTGACATTTATAAATTTCAATTTGTACAAGTATTCAATAACCCATCAAGATAGTTGATTTAATTTCTACAGATGTATTTACCATCACTTCAGAGGATGGAGATTTGTGTGAATATATATAGGTTTCACAAAAAGTTCTGCATTATAATCTTGGACGTTAACAATTTTTTGTATATCTTCTTAGAAAGAACGACTTTTTAATTCCCTAAAAGTAAATTTGCCAGAAATTCTTAGAAATGCCACCAGCATCTCTGTGATCAATTTCAAATAAATGAAAAGACTTATCAAGCCATACAGAAGAAGACACATTTCCTTTCTCAACGGTATCATCTAATTATTCTGTCCAAATGTACTAATATTGACTTGGAGCATATGACAGTCTATTGTTAAAATAATAGGTTGAGATTACAGTATTCATGTAATATTAGATAGAGAGAAGAAAAATTGACTATTGATACAATAAAATTTACATAATAAATAGAAGTATACAATTAACAAAAGTTTGAATCTCTCCTAACAGTAGAAAGTGATGTTTTAGTGAGTCTACTTGACACAAACACTCAAAAGGAATAGCCACTCAGTTACTCTGGAAAATCTTTGTTTTTTTCTCTGAAATACAAACAATATTTCTGAACATGAAGTTCTGTAGTATTCTTCTTTGAAATATTAACACAATCGATAAAAAAAAATTTAGTTTGGTTGTTTATTCCGTCAAATGAAAAATCAATCACCCTGGAATCCTTAAACAGAAATTTTGAAAAATTCAATTCCACTCTTATAAAACTGTAATGTTCTTTTTTCCAACGAAAAATGTGAATAAAAAAAATGTAGCGGTGAACAAAAAACTTAAACCTGCCATCATAGGGGTATAACAAGAATGATTTTCATTATGAGATGATAAACAATAAAAATTCTTAGTTAACACATGAAGATCGAACTGAGATGAAGCGTTATCAGTAAGAATGGAAGTGAGTTAAATCATACCGTCTTATGGCAAAAGAAAATATGTTTAGGAGATATGACAATAAGAAATCTTCTGCCATGGAAGATTAAGACCTACAATTGTTCCTTTGTTTGAATGCGAAAATCTAGTTTTTGCAAGCCATTAGCATCATTTTCTTCTTATATCAATAGCTTTTGTTTGTCTATTCATTTATAAAAGTATAGACATTAATTTTATGAGCATAGTCCAATAGACGGTGTTTGGTTGAATTTCTTAGTTTTCCCAAGGTGATAGAAGATTAGTAATTGGAGACTATTGGTGACATTGTGCAGATACATACACTCTTTATCACCTTTGAAGTTGTAAGTATTTCCGTTAACCTTCATCTGCTTATTCTGTCACCTGTCTTCTGTTCATTTCTTCTTTGCACGCTGCTCGAAAACACACCATAATGACTTAATACACTTATGTGATACCTTCGACATTGCCTTATCTGTCTATCTAACCAACAGGATGATTAATTATTATTTTCTTCCTGATTTAGTGCTGGTGTTGGAAGAACGGGTACATTTATTGTTGCAGATTTACTACAGAAATATAAAGAATCTAACTGTATTTATTTTGATATACCTGGTGTTATATTACAAATGAGGCGATGTCGTACATTAATGGTACAAAAAGTTGTAAGTTACAGTTCGTGTAATTTGTCTTTCACTTTTGAATATATGTGATTAGTATACATATGCAAACGACTTGTGCTACCCTTTAGAATTTGAAGCAGAAGGTTGTTGTGATGTTCAGCTGCTGAGCTTCGTATATGCTTGTTACTGCGTTCTCGCAACCGAACAGAATACCACTGTTGAATCCTTTTGAAAAGGGTTTAAGTTGAACAGGGGAATGTATGAAAAGTATTCAGATGCTATGCATAAAACTAGACTTCAAAGGTGGTTTAGCTACCGATTTCATACTCCCCACAAAAAACATTCTGGGCAGAAAAATTACGAGTAGTTTTAGCCAGCCTTACAGCATTTTCTAACAATTTGAAGGTAAGGATTTCTCATATAACTGCTTTACCACTTCAACCACTCGTATCGAGCTAAAAATATCGGTCGTTCTGCACTAACGTTGTCAAAAAGAATTAAATGGTACTGTCTTACCCGGTTCCAAAGTGTCATTGGTGGAGGATGTATGCGATGTGTGATAACTAAATACTTCTCTGCTGTTGTCGTCAATTTTCTCCAAATTTGCTTTCGCGTAGTATGGTTTCTTAAAGCATTCCACCGTTGTTTGTCTAACTGATAATCATTGTTACGGTCAAATGAGTATACTTTACAATTAGTACAATAAATGAGTTAATTTCAAAGATTTTTATCATGAATCGACTTCATTTAGATGATCACTAAAAGTGATAAAGTATAGAACACTTGGTTTTTACTAGTTTGAGATTGCTCAAAAGCGTTCACCTACGACTCGCTGAGGATTAAGCTGTACACCAAAAAGGGACACAACAAGCACATTTTTGAACGAATCAATTGATTTCACAGTGTAAGGTCGACCAAGTTTAGTATGGTAATAGATGAAATTTGATTATGGCCACACTGTAACACAAGTCACTAAAAGTTATAAATGTAAGCAACGATGTTCCAGCTTCATGACTAAGCAGAGGCCTGTTCGCCACAAGATCAAATGGTTTTGAGCTCAATTCCAAATATCGTCGCGAACACTTACCACTGAGAAGTTATTCATTAGAAAAACACACTTGTTGATTTCTCCCCCCCCCCTTGATTTTCACTATTTCTAAAGATCATACCACTCCATTACGAAAACAATTTGAAAATGTTTATAATTACTGTCTCGTTAACTTATGATGTTGTATAGAATGATATTCTAAGCGTAAATATTGAACCATCTGGCTGAGAGAACACAACACCACTAAACATTTTAACCATATATACTTCGACCAGTTAGATTGATCCAGATATATACTGCAATCTATGATTATCTACATAAAAAGGATTAGTAGGTTAACTAAGAAAAGAGTAATTTATAAAACAGATGGTTTGTATTTGTTCATTCATAATTTTATCAAATGTTTATCCGTTATTAATAGAAGTTCATGATCTCAAATATTCATTGTTATAACTAAATATACTGAAACTTATAAATGATTGTTTTGAAGAAACAAATTTACCAATTGACAAAAAACTTATTTAGCGTTATATACAAAGATCATCATCAATCAAATCACACAGTAACTCTGAAACTTATGAAGGGAAGAAGGGAGAAATTATTTGTAATACTAACAGTTTACATTGAAATATCTATCTTATTAATGTACTGATGACCCATTCAGTTTAGTGGAAATATTTTTGTTAAGATTAAGTTCTGATGACCACATCAAGTTTTTACCGGACTAGTTATAGAAGAACATTGTAAAGTATCCATTGGATAAAATATCAGTTTTTATCTGTCCTACCCTTTGACTCAGGTGAAAGTTATGAAATATTTCGAGATGTCATTCCCTTCTAACTAAGTTTTCCTGTTCACAAGATATGAATGAATTCAGGAAATTGCTACAGTCTTTGTATTTTCAACCCCTTAATTTTGTTTATCAAATTCTTCTAAATAATTAAAAATTTTCGATTCTGTTTCAACTGTGTCAAATTCACCTGCCTAACATTTAATAGTAATAGTAGTTATGAAAAAAGCAAAAGACAGGTATGCAGGAAGGAATATTTATTGTCAACAAGTGGGATGGTAGTCGTTAAATATAGTACATCTTGCACTAAAACCGTCATTTGTAAAACATGCTCCATTCCCTCTTCTGCTTCTTTCTTGATTTGCTCTTCATACGCCTGTATTGTCTCTTGCGTTTCTCTTGACGGAATCCTTACCCATTGGTAGTGATTCCCTATGATTTCTGCCACCCTCTCAACGTATACTACTTATATCCGTCCTTATCAGCAACGCCCACTACATTAGTAGTAATAGAAAGAGGGAACAAGGGGAGTGGTTCTTCATAAACTACTCAGTAACATCACATTTTGGGATTTTGAAGATATAATGACTTTTCAGTTTGGCACTCATCGTGGACTGATATCAGTTGGAGGGAGATTGGAAACCTGGGAGTACTGGACAGCTGTTTCGCACCCATGACCCTGTCCCACAAGGGACCGAACCTAGGACATTCAGGTCCCGTGGCCAGCACATTACCACTGGGTCGGACTCCAATGGTCCATTATTTCCTACTTCTGTCAGTTCACGACATAGAGCGACCATCACCCAATGTCATCGTTGAGTATTCGTCCCTGCCCCACCGGTCACGACTTCTCTTTAGAACTTCGGGAATCCCCTCTCCAAGCTAGTCACCCATAAGCACTAGAATAATTGAGTTTAGGGGTTTGTGGGTATTTAGTGATTTTTGAAGTTGGTATTCAACTGATGTCCAACCGATATCAGTCTATAATGAATATCAACTTGACAAAATTTTCAGTAACACCAGTGACTGATAAAGAAACTTTAGTTTGTGCCGTTTTTTATCCCTTCCACAGGCACAGTACATATTTCTTCATCATTTCGCCCATTCGTTATTCAAATAATTATGCTTTGTTACAAGATGAATGAATTAACGATAAAGATGACCAACTTTTTCCAAGTCAAAAAACTTGTAAGTTCCAAAGTTTTACCATGAATAGTAGATTATAAAACGCTTTGCTTTTAACTGTCATCTTGTCTAGACTAAACTGACCTTATCACTTTTATCAATGAAAAGCAATTCATCTTAGATGACTAGTTTAAAATTATGTCTACAATAATGATTATATTGCGATAAAAGGTTTCACTTGGTGTGCATAAGCTTCTTCAAGTACATTAAGCGGTAAGTATCTTTTGGGTCATCATCACCATCAAGATCAACATAAGACCAAGCCTTACTGCATATCTGTTCAAGTTGCCATACTTCATACCAACGCATCAAGTAACAAGGCAATAAAATGGAAAACGAAGAAGGAAACAACGGTCAAAAGAAGTAGAAAGCGGTAAAAGACAGGAAGGAGGGACGAAATGTTGAGATTAAGTATAGCGGTTAGAATGAGGATAATGTGAGTATACATCTGCGCCACTGATATCGGTTCTGAGCCATAACACCTTGATTCTCCGACCACTGGTTTCTCTTGTCTCGCGGACCCCAACCACATAGTTTGCATCATCCCACATGGCTCAAACGAACAGTTAACACCTTCATGCATTGGTCTTATGGTTTAGTCTGTCCCCCCCCCCAAACTTTTTTCCAGCTTGAACCTATTTTGACCAACATTGTGCCAGGAGGTAGACGGTGGCTAGGCATATGTAACATATGCCTCAGCCATCTCAGTTGATAAGGGTTCAGAAAAAGTAGTTACCCTTACTCTTAAGATGTTCTTAAACAAATTAATGATGCATTATGGTGTCTCAGATCAGTCATCAGTGGTTATTGATGATCCAAAACCACAGGATGCATGTTCGATTACATCTTCCATAATACAGGCCAATTTTCGTGGTATCTTTTGATTGGACGCTGTTAGACTGTATAATGCTTTAAATAAACCGTCACAAGGCAGATAAATAATGGCTTCATCTAATTTATACATTAGTCATGGTTGAGTTACAACTGTAAGGGAAAAACTGTGCCCTTCCTAGCTATAAGGCAAGTTATTAAAAGAACAAATGCTTATCATTCATAGAATTTTAATAAGTCTCTAAAGTCTGTAAAACAACTTTAAAGAAAATCAAACATCAACTCTCAAAATACAAAAACTAAGATGACAGATCTATAGTATTAGTTTCATTCAATTATGTACAAAGATATGATTTCAAACCGTCTAAATCACAGGCCTAATAATCTGCTTAGGCGGGATTTAAGTTGAAAGAACCTGAAAGAGCAATATCGTAAGTGGTCTTCACTACTTACATTCACAGCAGAATCACAACTTTATGGAAGCAAATCTACCTCCATTATGTGGTTTGAGCCAATCGAAGTGGAACTCATGGCCTAGATTTTTGCGTGTGGATACTGGTCAACAAGGTGAGAACTGAAGAACTGATATCCCCATGCTGATAAAGTCAGAGATGCCACAACCAAACTGTTCGAACTGCAACTGACTTCCTGTAGGATTAGATTAGATAAACTGAATGGTTTTTGAAAAGCAACAAATTCAATACCGTTTAGTCCTAAATCCATTGAAGTTTGCAATGTAGTTACCGAGCTTCAAGACTCACCATCATGGTGCTGTATTACTGATATCAGGTGATCATATACGTTAGATAGATAGTTTAGACTTAAGTGATGTAAGCTTGAGTCTCTTAGGAGACATTATTACCCTCTTGATTGCAAATATGTCTTACCAAGGAGAGTCAACATGTAAGAAACTAATTTTGGGTCTTCAAGCGATTGCTTCTAATCGTCGAACAAAGTTCACCACGATGATGTCTTCTAAACTGAGATAACCATATTTCAAACATGATAGATAGAATTTCGTAGACACTGAAGACTAACCACTATGTTACTGGTTACTTTGCAACCAACATTCGAGGTAAGTTTACCTCTTCTTTTCGTGAAAAATACTCCTCTGTTTTGCCTTCTCAAATGCTATTTTGTGTATGTTTCCTCTAATAGGTAACTTTTGCAATATTTATTCACTGTTGAACGACAGATATGTCACTTCAAAGATGCTTACATCATTAGGAGGTATACATAAACCGATGACAATCATTTGTCAGTTAATTGAATCTCTTAAATATTTCTTTGTTTACAGAATAAGACAGGATGAAAAAAAAGTGCATAAAACTAATTACAATACCAACGATTTACAATATGATGGAGAATATGGTTGTTTTCATCCTAAGACAAATTGAATCACAATAATTTCCTGAGATCTTCAAAATCTAGAAAAAAAAAAGTAAAATTATAATCATTTATTCTTTCTTCTTTTATCAATTAACTGTTCGTTATTTCTATTTTTGTTTTTCTACTGGTAAAACTATAATCTCATCAAAAAGATGCCTTCATTACACATCAGAAAAATCTTCCACTTCTGTTATAAAGTTATCGTTGAAATTTATGTTCCTCTTTCAGTATTATCATCCGGAATCTTTTTGATAATGTACGCATGTGTTTACAGATGATCAGAAATACAAAAAATATTCTTGTCATTACCTTATTTTATTTTAATTTGTCACTGTTATTTGTACTCAACTTTAAATGACTTTCAGTCACTGTAGATTATACAGAAATATAAATCTGAATATAAGTGTAAAACTTGGGTACTGTGGTAGAAATTAATTCCATATTAGATTTGTTTATTTGATTTATAACACACAGTGATCTAGTATTATTTACTTGATGACGTTTCGAGCATAAATTCTCTGTTGCTCATAATCATATCAATGTAATCATACTACTTTCGACATTTGGTTTTTATAGTTACGCCACCCATATGAGTTGTTTTTATTGGTAGCAAAATTTTCTCTATTTCTGGCATAGGTGTTGCGTCATTCTCATTACATGTGTTGAGTGTTGATTTGATGAACAAAAATTCAGTAATCAATCTCTCCACCTAATTATATTGGAACTTAAGTACAGTAGCTTTATCCAATATAATTAGGTGGAGAGAGAGATTGATTACTGAATTTTCGTTCATCGAATGAACACTTAACACATGTAATGAGAATGACGCAACACCTATACCAGAGGTGGCATAACTATAAAAATCAAATGTCTTGGTCATATTGTGTTCTCTGAGCTGGGTTGTTTAATCGTGAAGTGTTGAATTCATACTGAAGTTAGTGCTCATGATGTCGTCTAGAAGGACGATGAAAGCTTCATGAAAAACAACCCAGCTCAGATAACACAATACAATCAAGACCATCCACCTGAGCTACAAATATTCTCCACTATTTCAAAGATCAAATGTCGAAAGTAGTATGATTACATTGATATGATTATGAGCAACAGAGAATTTATGCTCAAAACGTCATCAAGTAAATAATACTAGATCACTGTGTGTTATAAATCGAATAAACAAATTTAATGTGGAATAAATCTGAGCATTTTTTCCATTTTGAAGGAAATAATTCATCCATTTATATCTGAGAAATTGCACAACAATGGAAGAAATAATAATAATGCCTCTTTTATGCTTAATTCTCTCTCACTATTCCTTCCGCAGATTAATTCAAGATGCGCTTTCCGTACTGATTGGGGCTCTTCAGCTGGATGTTCATTCACCCCATTGAGTGATATTGTCCACAATGAGACTCAAACCCCCTACCCACTGCTAACAAACGCCAAGTTGTAACCCACTAGGCCACGGAGGCATGATAGCCAGCTCTTGTACAACGGGTATTAGTTGTCACTATTTATGGATATGCTTGTAGTTCTCCTCATAGGAGCCCATATACCGATAGAGATCGAACAATTCGATCCAGTAAAACAACAGAGAATTACAAGCATATCCATAAATAGTAACAACTAAAACCCGTTGTATAAGATCTGGCTACCGTAGCTTAGTGGGTAACAACTTGGCGTTTGTAAGCGGTGAGTACGAGGTTCGAGTCTCAGCGTAGGCAATATCACTCAGTGGGATGAATGAACGTCCAGCTGACGAGCCCCAAGCAGCAGGGAACGTGCGTCCTGGATTGGTTTGCTAGCCGCAACCACCCAAATTACCATAATTAACATTCAGGCAATATCGAGGCGTTTGCATAGGAGCCCGTATGCAAATAGAGGTCGAACAATTCGGTCCAGTAAAACAGCGAAGAATTACAAGCATATCCATAAACGGTAATAATACATTGACACTGTTAATACAGGGCGAAGGGCTAAAGACTATATGCATCAGTTTGCCACTGCAGAGTAACTAATTTCACGTTTTCCAGTCCTAGGTACCGGATCGAATTTCTCAAGGGGCATCAGTATGCTTGAGGTTGGAGATACAACGTACTGACAAGTACCAAAAAGCACTAAACTTAGGTGAATCAAGGTTACCTGTGAATCACTTCTAACCATCTAACGTCAGTCAATATGCACCTAGCATATGCATCTAGCTTGTTGTTCACATTAAATAACTGACCTACATAATTCGGTCAGCACATAGGCATAGACAAAATTAAATTGGCTTCTCTCTAGTGACCGATTAATATACTTGTCTATCATTTTTGACTGAGATAGAAGTGGTTTGGCAAACTTTCATTGTTACTGGGTAATAAAAGATGATGTAATGAAAATTTAGACCATGGTCGGATTCGAACCAGCGACCACTGGCCACGGTCTAAATCTTCATTTCACCTTCATTCATCACCCAGTGATAATTTACTTGTGTTTTGTTAACTAATGAATTCCTTCAATAAGAATATAACCGCTAACGATGCACGGATGTCGACTGTCAGCCATCAATATTCAACAAATTCCTAGTTGGTTTCCGACCGGAATAATTAATAAAGAATACACGATGGGCGTGTAGAAAAGTGTTTTGGGGTCAAAAGACAGTAGACAAGAACAAAGGAAAATATATTTGCTATACAGATAGTTCACCGTTTAAAATAACACTGTTGATTGGCTGAT